CGGACGTCATACAATATTATTATCGTGGCATAAATGTATAACAAAGACGTCTCAAAAAATTTCTGCTCCAGTTTTGGCTGCAAAACACTAGAGCGCGCTAGTCCGACCGATAAGACGTGTGTAATTATCATAGTGCAACTAATATGTAAGAACTCTGTTACAAAATTATTAATTTTAACGTCGCAAAACAAAGAACTAGAAAAATGATGTTTACTTAAGTCCTCAACATTTACAAGAGGTTTATAATATATAATACAAGTTTGTAATTGAGTATACAGTATTATCTCCTCCCTTATTTTATAATTGAGTATTCATGAGTCGAACAGTATCAGCAAAATATCTAGCACATAGCAGAGTACGGTGATAGAACTTTCGGAGGACAATAATTTGGCATGGCACGCAGCCAACGTGCCGTAGGGATTTGAATATGCTAACAGACGAGGGGAAATCGGGGGGTAAAGGTTTCTCTGGAGCTGTTCTCGACCGACTGCGCGCACAATAGGTGAACAAACGCATTTTAAAAAACGGTAACCGGGGTTACCCGTGCAAATTTCAATAACACGATACCCTCAGCTGTTCTGATGCAATTTTGCAGATATTACGCGAATAAAATGTAGCTAAGGATTATTAATCGGTCGACGACTCGACGTAACTGGAGCGATGTACGTTGATTATGGCCATGAGACAGATTTGCCTAGGAATCGCTACTTGCAATTGTATCACAGTGATCGATTCAAGGTCGTTTCTAACACGTCATCGTGTTGGTCCAACGCTGCGCGGAAAACGGTATATCACATATTACAAACTGCTTTGTTCGCTTCTAAGCGATCATGAGGATCGAGACTATTATTACGGGGTAATCGAGTGTCACCAAAAAGCTCCAGAGTTTCCAACAATTGACAACAAAGTTTAACACTTATAAACATTTACTAAGGCCGTTCGGCTTATCATTTTTATCACTTTTAACCCGTTTTTTTTATAAGGGGTCGATATAATATAAATAACTATAATCCCTAACCCCAGGTCATTTCGATAAGATTTCATTGGCACACATATAACCATAAAACTATGTAGACACACTTACAACATAACATACGTCAAATAAATTATAATAGTTTTAAAATTATAATAATTATTACTATGTACAAAACAACTAGTTGAGTTGATATACTTACGGGTGCACAAACAACAGAATTGATGATGACAGGACGCGCGGCGACCCCCCCCGACGAAAAGTTGGCGTTGTCAGTATGTGTAAGTGTATGAGCGAGTACCGCTGCGCCGCTGTAGTCGGAACAGTCGGAACCAAGAGCTGCCGCCCAATGTCGTTAAGCACAGCGGCCACACCACGAAACGTGATAGCCAGACAAACTGCAATGGCTTCCGAACGCAAGTGCCGCGTGCGCGCAAGGGTACATCAAACGACAAGGCAGTTACACCAGAGACATCTACGAGCTGTATCAATTTTAAAATTAAAACTTGACAGAAAGATGGCGTCAGTCTTGTTTATCCAATGTAATCGGTTTCTGTTTCTATAAAGATGTATTAAAAAGCGGGTTTACAATACTACAGCGAAAACGACCGTCTCAGTCACATTAGAAGTGTCTCCTTTATATTTCAAGTTAATTTTTTATTATTTATGTTATTTATGTAGCTGTGTTACCAATATAATTTAATCAACATAAATTGTGATATTATCACAATTACAAAATAATGTTACTCTGAGGTCAGTGTTACCACATGTTAAATTAATACTAGATCCATTTGATATTAACCATCAAATAATATAAGGTAATTCGTTGATTGAGGTAAATTTACTTGAAACTATTAGAAAATAAATAAAAAGGTTAATGTACTGCAGTGTTCAATCTATTATCCCAATATTAAGTTTTCTTTGAGAAGGGAATTTTTTGCTCAAATAAAAAATGATTAAAAATATCAACACTATGGCTCAGAGCCAGATTAAGCTACACGTACACACAATTGATCTATTAATTTTGCCTTAAATAGTTTACAATTTTTAGCAATTCTTTAACAAAATACAGATGATATAATTAAATTCTTTAACGCTTTATTGTAGAAATGTACTCGAGAGAATTAAGACTTGTTACTATAACACATTATTTTATTATATTATTTACTAGTATTTTTAAGTGCTGTATTATTATAGATAATATCTTTAATATAATACACTATTAAATGATATATAAAATGTAATAACAGTATTATTATGATTGTTGAAAAAATGTGTTAGCACCAAGTCATAAAAAAGCAACAACATTTTTAAGAAGGATTACTTGTGAGTTTCTTAAGGTACTACCATACCAAATCATATTAAACGGTTCCCTAGGGATTTGTATGAAGTTCGTAACTAACTAAAGATGAAATTCTTACTGGTGTTTTACTCAGGATGACCAGATCGGCATAAAATAAGAGGAATAATCTAGACGTAAAGACCCTTTTTCAAAAATTATAATATGATTAAAAAAATAGTCTTTATAAGCTGAAATCTTTAAAAATATAAAATAAGGAATAGTTAATTTGATTTTACATATTTTAAACTAGTATCAGATTACGCATTATTCCATTTCCAATAGATGCATGGTTAGAAATTTCTAATAGAAATAATTTTCAAAGATTAAATTTTTTATTTTTATTATCAAAATCATGCTTTAAGTCTTTACTATAATATTCATTGGAAATAATACATAAGCATAATTTTTCAAAATCGATACTAACATATAATAGTGTGAATTTGAAGGGGGAATTGGGTATTAGATCCTTTTTTTTGAAATAATTTTTTTATTTTTAAGAAATAAAGATAAAAATAAATGTATATCTCGTTAATAAAAATCTGAGCTATATAACTGATTGCAATGAGTCTACCTTGATAACAGTTTACTGAAATTCATCTTAGAACATTGTCTTTAAGCGCTTTTCAAAAATATCAGGCGAGTTTTTTTCAGACCAAACCTACTTGTTACAAAATAGATGACGTAAAAATATATAATGTTTGGTACGCGTCGTAGAAGTGGAACGCTGGAGCTTATAAATTCATTCATAAATATTAAATTTGATTGACTATCGATAGAATTCGATGTATCATTGTTTATTAGCGTTGGACAGTGCTTTATAGTACAGGTTATTGCCTTCCAAAAATCTTTTTAGAATATTTGATATCATTTTTGTTCTTTAGTTAATAAAGTCGCATCATCAGTTGTAGCATTTCCATGTATAACTCTTCACATCGAATTTTCAGGTAATTTAGAAATACATAATATAACATAAACTTTGTAATAAAATCGATGAAAATATGTCTGGGATTTGTATACGATGAATATAAACATATTTGATAGGAAATGTAATATAATTTAGACAACAATTAATAAAGTGTTACTTATTATCAATTGAATTATTATTTCTTTAAAATTACAAAATGACATCGGGAAATTTTTAATTTAAGTATAGGTCCGTTAATTTAATGATTAAGAAAAAAATACACAAATTACACAATATATATTGTGTCATTTGCATAACCACAATGTCAACAAAAATTTTTAAGGGGCTTGTTATATTTAACATCTTCTCTTAATTTTTTTTTATATAATTATACATATAGATTTTCTGAAATGTTGGAGGGGTTAAACTCTCCAAAATCCCCCTAATTTGCTTCTATGATAATTATGATAAATTTTTTTTATAAATAAGAAAAATTTATTTTTTTAATCCTAAATTATGTATTAAATGTATATTTTGATTATAGCACGATTATTGGTACTTATTTATAGAGAATAAAATTGATTGATGTTTTATTATAAGTTATTTTATTGGTGGTTTTGTTTATGACAGTTCTTTCTTGACTATTTACCAAAAAATATTTTGTCTCCATAAGAATTTCATAACACGACCACTCATATTGGATTTAATAAATACTTGCAGATTTAGTACTGATATAAATTTATAAGAACTATTATAAAACTGTAATTTTTAATGGATATATCTACATATACTTCTAAAACACCACTGTCTGAAGCTATCAATAAAACGATATATAAGAAGTGGAGAATCTATCGCTCTCCGTAATCTGTAATATACGTTTGACAACTAAAATTTCTTATTTGAAAAGGTATAAGTGCAATTTATTGATCATTAAATTTACAATATCAATGAAATAATATTTAATTTATAATTTGCATAATTTATTATAAAAGATATTTCATTTTAAACTATTTGAGTATGGACCTAGAAAGATTTTAGATATCACTTTAAGTGGTATTTAAAATACTTAAATATTTACCAAGCAAAAATAGAGAATTCATTTTAATTTTTAAAATAAAATCAATAATAAAAGTGGAGATTAACGAATTTTTTAACACTAATAAGTAATAATTACAATAAAAAATATAATTTTTTTATCATTTAATTATTGTTCCCGCAGTTATGTTATTAGAGTACACACCACTGTTAATTGCAGACCCGGGTTAAAGAGGCGGGAAATCTTTACGATTCTCACGAATTTAAAGTCTATCTCAAATTTTACTAGCCTATTCATGACTATGAACAGAGTTTTTCTGTTTTTTTTTTGTTCATCACTTTTTTTATGGTAGCATTTTCCATAGGGAGGTCTATTGCATGGTTCCGTCCCTTGGCCCATAAAGGTCTTAATCCACCATTGGCTGATTGACTATAGACATATAAATATTCATTTAAGTGCATTAGATTTAAAATAGATCAAGTTTAATCGTACCGAGTATAATAAAAAAAAAATTCGGTGGGGTTGGGATTGATTCATTTGTTTTCATTATAGGAATATTATTTTATATATATTTATTCAAGTTGAATCGGCTTTTAAAAAAAATTCGGATCTGCCCGTATGATCATTGGTATGTATTTGTATTCCTATATTTGTGATAGAAAATACAAATTGTTTTTCTTATCAAATGTATGCAACAAACTATTATTGATAGTAATTTCATGTTATTATTCACGTCAGTATTTTTTTATTGTAGCGTTTAGTAAATTTTTGGGTTTTCATAAATGAAATCCTGTGTTAGTCTTACAATAAAAAAATTTTTTTTTAATAAGCATTTATACTGATTTTTTAATTTTGTCCTTTAGTATTACACAATGACAGTTAAATAAGTGACATATGATTGATGAATTAACGATTAGTAAAATAATTTATTCAATTCATTTTTAAAAGTATTATAAATTGAAGAGTTTATTTTAAGTAAGATTGTTGGTAGATATCTTTTTTAATTTTAAATTAAATTATAAACTTTACTCAATCTAAATTTCTTTTATAGTCATGTCTACTAGAATGGTGGCCAGAGGTGGAAAAACAAGGCTTTTTGGTTTTTTTTGTGTGATTCTTGTATTATCAGCAGTGTTATATGTATTTCATGGAACTCAATTAGAGTTAGATGATGTCCGTCAATCAGTATCGTCTTGTACTCAACAACTTGGCTCCCTTTCATCCCAATTGCAAGGTATAATACTTGTAAAAACCTTTTTTATATATATTATTTGATTTATTAAAAAAAATATTTTACATAGAAATTGTTGAGCACAAGTTAAAATTGGAAAAATCTTTGGAAAATGAAAAAAATGAGCATGCAAAAACAAAAGAAGAGTTAAATGCTGCTATTCAAGATGAAAAGCAGTTGCGAGATAAACAAAATGTTGATTCCATGAATCGTTATAATGAGATAGAACGAAATCATGCAGTGTTACAGGTATTAAGAAGATATAAATAAATATTAAATATTATTATAATTGAAAAAATTATACAGGAAGAAGAAAAACAATTAAGAGATGAACTTGAAAAAATACAACTCAGTTTAGATGAAGAATTAAATAAAAACAAAAAACTTGTAGAAGAGCTGGAAACTGCTAAAAATAAAATAATCACACTTAAAGTTTGTGTATATGTATTTACAATTATTTTATTGTACATTTTTTAACTTAAAATCTTAGGACAATAAATCTAAGTATGAAAAAAATAATCAAGATGAAAGCTTAAAATTACCAAGAGGGAATGATAGTTCATCATTGAAAAATGTTTTAGAAAATAGTGATGACAATGCAAAGCTTAATAAGGTTAAACATTTTTAAGATATAATTATCATGATTTATTATTTATATAATTTTTTTCAGAGTCCATGAAAGAATTCTTCAATAAGACACAAATTTAATTATTTTTGAAAAAATAAAATATTTATACTTAAGTACATTACTTTCTGTATTGTATCTTATATTTATTTTTTAAATATTTTAGATTAAATCTAGTTCTGTCACACCTGCCATTAATCCTCAAGCTATTGATGGGTCTACTGCCAAAAGTAGTACACCGATGGTATTTTTTAGTTTATTTTAATATTTTGATAAAAAAAAAATATATATATATTTAATGTATTCTGTTACTAGCTATGTAACTTAAGTGTGATACCTCAATATTTTTTATTCACATAATATTTATGCTTCATTTTTTATTTTTTTAGACTAGTTCAATATCAAAAACAACTTCTACAAATGAGTCAGTAATACCTATTAATGTAAGTGAATTATTAAATAACTATGATATCAGAAATTAGGACTTCTTTATTTTTTTATTTTTATTATTAAATAAATAATAAAATGATATTAATTATTGTAATTTTATGTGAACTTATATTATAATTATATATTTTTATAATTATAAAAATGATATTTATTTAGATTTTTCCTAAATACTACTATCATTTAATTTTTCAAATAATTTTTTTATAGCAAGAAGCTAACCCTATCAATCAGCCTAATATGGAAATGAGTTCATCTTCTAAAGTTCAAGGCAGTGCATTAGCATTGAATAATGAAACAAGTCCATCACAAGTAATAAATAAAATGTAAAAATAATTTATTAAAATAACAAAATTAATTGTTTTTATAGGAACCTCAAATTAATGTGAATGAATCATTTAAAGGGATGGCCATACCTCCCAAAGAAAATGCCAAAAAAGAAAATATAAATGGGTAAAACATTAGTCGTTGCCAAATTTTAATGAATAACTGATAAAGTATACTGATATTATCAAACAACTTTTTTAGAGGAATAGAAAATGATAAAACTAAGCAAAAAAATGAAGTATATAAATTAGACTATGAAAAAGAACAATTCAAGGAAGAAGATGGTAAAAAATTTTTTTATTGATATGAGCAATAAATAAGGCAGTAACTGACTTTTTTTTCTTTAAATAGTAGTTTTTTAAATTACAATCTTGTCACAATTACCATTTTACATACTCTGATCATATAATACAATATTTAATAATAATATTATGGTTTAAGTGAAATAGGGTAATTCATTAAGAATATAACACTTATTTTTTGGAAATTAAAATTTTTGAAAAGGAATATATTGTTTAATTCAAAATGGCAAATGATAATATGTAGTTAAATAAATTTTCTTCAAGGATAAAAACTTAAAATAAAATTTTCTTTAATGGGAATCCCTATTTTTAGTTTGAGAGCATCATAGAAAAAAAAATTTCAAAAAATTTTGTTCTTATAATTTTATTATATTTGATCATCTGTTAATTGTTTTAAAATTGTTAAACTATTTGGATTAAAAATATAAATTCATTGTTATTATAATTTAATAACACTGGAGATAATAATAATATTTTTCATCAATTTAATGATACTGACCAAGAAAAATCATTAAATTTCAAAAACCAATAACAAAAAATTTGTATAAAAAAAATTGTAAGAAAAAAGTTTTTTTCAATTGTGTCATCATAGAGCTTTCCATTAAAGAAAATTCAAGTTTAAGTTTTTCATCCCTAATGGGATGAAAATAAAAATGATTTAACAACGATTATTAATGTAGTTTTTTGAATTAAACAATATTTTCCTTTAGGAAAATAAAAATTTTTCAATAGTTATGGAGAAAATGACTGTCTTATTCTTATGAATAAATTAATATTCTGTAAATTAATTTTTTATTTTATATTTTAATAGAAGATGATGAAGATATGACTGATTTTGAAGCTAGAGCTGATGAAAATCAAGTATGTAATGAATATGATTATTACAAAATGGAACAGAAAATAAAACATTTTATTTAAATATTAAAATCAATTTTATTTTAAACAAAGACATTTACTACCTATTATAGTATAAATTAAAGCAAAAAAATTAATNTATTATTTCAAACAAAGACATTTACTACCTATTATAGTATAAATTAAAGCAAAAAAATTAATTTTATTTAAAATTTCTATAATTCATACTATAAAATGGAGCATAATTATTTTAAAAGATTTGTTTACAAACCAAAATTAGAAACAAATTTGTTCATTAAATAAATTTATTTATTATGTTTTCACACTTATAACCTTTGCTGGAAATTACATTTTAGATTTTTATATCGACTAAAATTTTTATGTAGAGTTAGTACACTATTTGACATTGAGGATAATTCCTAAAAATTATAAACACGTCATGATAAAAATGTTAAGGAGTGATTGAAATAATTGAGTACTTAATTGGAAAACAATAATTTAGATTTTGTTTGTAAAGATAATAAAAAATTTGATTTTTTAAAAGTTTTTTCCAATTTTTTTAGGTAGTATAAATATATTACAAAAAATATAAAACGAGTTATAATAAATTAATTTAATCTTATAACTTGTAATTTTTGAGTACATCAAAAGTTTATATGGTAATATATTTTTTAATTAATACAGGATGGGACATATCTAACTGAAACCTCATAATTTTTTATGCAATTCAAATTTTGCTGTAATTATTTAATTATTTCTTAACAATCTTAGACTATGTTAAAAGCATGTTTTTTATTATTTGTATTAAATAATAAAATATTAAGATTTTATATATATATATATAAAATGTTTTCAAATTGGTAAGTTTTTAGCTTTTTATAACAAACTATTTTTACAGGTTGATTGCAATTTTAGGATAAGTACTTTTTGAGTTACTAGCCCTTCAATACATAGAGTGGATATGATTTGCTAGTCGAGTATGTGTTATAAATATACACTAGTAAGATCTGTACCCACCCACTCTATGTATTAAAATACTAGTAATTCAATAATTAGTAGTCTTAAAATTATTATTGATCACTAAACAATGTTTGTAAAAAAGCTTTTAAAAAATAAAGTTTATTAAATCAACTTATAAAAGATGTCAGTTAGTTCTGTTCCTTTCTGTGTATTGGTTTGTTATTAAGTTGTTATTATTATAGGCTATACCTGATACTGTATAAATACACAACAAGAATAATCGAAAAGTACAAATGCCATAGTTAAAACATTAAGTGATTTTGTAAGTAATTTTAATGTACTCTAGCAAAACTATCATTTATAGATATTTGAGCTGTATAAACTTATAAATTTATTATATTTTTATATTTATATTTAAATAAGTATTTTATATTAGTTAATGCTACTAATATGTAATAATTAAATTTTATAATTATAAGATTTATTTTGTTTAAAACTTTTAACCTTAATTCTTTAATATGAATCTCATAAAATGTATGATTTGTAAAATATATCTTTAAAAATAAATTACAATTTTTTATGATGAAATTTTATTTCAAGATATTATTTTTTTGCATTTTAATGTTAAGAATTTTAAAGTGATTTTAGTGTACTCATTACAATTATGCAATGTTTAAACAAGATTCTTTAAATAAACAAACATAAAATATTCACTTTTAAGAAATACAAATCATCTAAGAAGATTTTGTAGAAAATAATTATGTTTTTACTATTGATCTAAGAGGTTAGATTACTGGGATATTATATTCTTTTAAAATTTTATTTTTGTAATTGTTGAATTTTATAATTTAAAATAATAAAAATTGAAAATTGTTTTTAAAGATTTTCTAAACTTCCTTTGATAGTTATATAAATTTAATGCATATTATTTGAGTATCTACATATTGCATAAATCATTTATGTATTATAAAGATATTAAAATATCATAATGATAAATGATTACATTCAAGAATAAAAATTAATTTAACAAACTAAACTACAGTAAAAAATATAATTAACTTGTTTGAAATGAACTAACAAGTACAGTGATTGAAAAAATATAAGAATAAAATTTGATAAGACATTTCTTAAATTATATTATAATAATTATGGCAATTTGTTGAAAATTTGAACATGATCTAACAACATATTAAACAATTCAAAGATTAAATAATATGTATAAGTACAATTCAATGATCATTTTTTTTAAATAATAATCATGTTGTAAGCTACATGGGTAAGTACATTTATATTTTTTAAATTTTTTATGCTCAAAAAATGACTTATCATCGTTATTAAACCTAATAAATTACTCTTAATTAAATGTATAAGTAAGTTGTAAAGTAATAATATGTATGTTATATATTATGAGAATATATCAAATTTAAGTCAATTTTGAGCTCTGAAGAAACGACCTTGAAAAATGTAAAATGATTATGAAAAAAAATGATATCTCATTGCCTTGAAATTAACAATTTTAATATTTGTTCTGGAATTTTATCTCGGTAAAAGTTTTAAAGTAATTGTGATGTTACTCTTTAGTTATTATGTTACTACATTTAAAATAATATAATCATTTAAATATTAATAAATCTGTATTGGACGTGTAATAAATGAGTATTCATTTAATCTAATTGAATGAATAAGATTCAAAAAGCATAATGTGTATTCACTACTTGGTAAAAACAGTATAAAAGAGAATATCAAATAAAGTAGAAGCTAAATTAAATGTCTATTGTTGTTTGATAACCATAATATTATAATAGTATTTTTCGTTAACATGCATTTTTTCAGTCTATTACCTCTGATCAGAATTTACCAATTTAGTTTATATGAACTTAACTCTTGGATTTGTCTTATTCGTATAACACTAAATCATTTTTTACAGTAAATAATACTGCAGAGCTATCGTTATGATATTTTAAACGTCTTAGGCGAATTTTGAATACGGAGGCCTTATGGAGTTTTTTGATACTTTTTTTGCTTATCAGTTTTAAGAGTATTTGTGAATTAATTTAGTTATGTGTGATTATTAAAGTAAATGCCTAAAAAATCTTATTTTTGTTTTATTTCAATATTTTTTCTTATAAATACGTTTATTATGGCGATATTTATTGAATTATCTTCTTTTTCTCCTAACCTACAAAATACTACACCAAAAATTATATATTTTTAACTATGAATATTGTTGACTTACTTTTGGATTTATTTTAATTTTACATTTTTTTTAATTAAAGTAAATGTTGATGTTTTAAAACATAAACTTTAACGGTATAAACTAGTTTAACCTTTCCGCAAAAAGTATTAAATGAAATAATACATTGTATAAAGACTACAATATAAAACCTTTATTAAACCAATTAAAAATTTAATGTATTTGAAAGAAAATGATTAATTGATAAAGGATGATTTAAAGAAAATTATTATTAAATGTGTTGCAAATAGTAAGAGTAATCGCGTCCATTCTTGCATTAAGTCCTTAATTATTAATGTGTTTACCAATATTAACTATATTATTATAATATATTAATAATCTATGTATAGATTACAAGTAAACACATATACGTGATTACTTGTATAATTTTGGCTAGCATGTTAACTATATTTTAGACTAAATATATTATTTTACAGTAAGCGTTAAAAAATATACATTACTTTAATATCTAAATAATAATATAATTACTCTTTTTACGCCAGAAATTACTAGTGGTCAATAGTAAAGCAAAAATATCTTCAGTTTTTTTATATTTATTTTACATGGTTTCAGTTACAAAACTCAGGGTAATTGACCTTTTTGCGATAAATGACATGGCATAAGTTTGTTATTTGAACATACATTATAACATTTCAAAAATGAATTTTGTTTATATATTTATTCAGTTGGTAGAAAATTTTACTTATGTGTATAATATTCATAAAATTGTGAATATTAGCTAACTTTTAAGTCAAATATTATTAAATAGTTAAATTAATTAAAAAAAATTTCCAATTTTGTAATAAAAATATATTGTATGGTTATTTTATTGTTTTATTTTTTAATAAAAATTTAGTTATAGTAGAAAAATATGTTGGGTTTTTTTTTATCAAATTTTGTTATTTTAATTATTTTAATAAAAAATAATTTTTAAATAAAGCACATAATGAAAAAAATTTCTAATGATTATACTTGGCTAGTATTTTCAAGTTGTTTTGAAATAGATTTTAAACGAGGACATTCCGGTTATAAATATTATTATTTTTATAATTCAAGTTGTGTAATTATATTTATCTTACCGGTAGATTTAACAGATCTGATAACATTTAATACTCATAATTTTCGTGTTTACCTGAGGATGTCATACAGTAAGTTTAAAATTTAGCTTAAAAACATTTAAAAAAATGTTTAATAGTACAATATTTAACCTTGCGCAGAAAAAGATATATTCTCTAATTGTGTTATTGTTAGTATTACTTTTCAGATGAGAATTTTTGAATCATTATGATACTTTTGTGTATCTATAGGTAAAGTAAACTTATTAACTAAAAAAATGTAAAAAAATTCTAAAATTTTTAATAGATAACGATATTGCTGATATCTATTTATATTTTTCAATGGTGTAGTTAAAATGTTTGCCAATAAATCATAACAATCTAATAATAATTAAATGACCCTTCTAGTTGAAAAATAGCGGCTTTCAATTATCTGGTTAGTGTTAAATTTATGTTGACAGTTTATTAAATGTTTCCGTGTTGTTGTTAAATAGTAAAGCTAACAATAATCTCATTTTTTTTTCTTCACTTAACTGTTTTTAGGATTGTTGAAGAAGTATCTCGCAGGTATCTCATTTGATGGGAGGGTGGATATTAAGAATGCCATTAATATCTTTTATATGAACTGTTAAATGTTAGTGTGCTGTTGTGTTAAAGTAAGGTCCTGGCCGGTTTCAATGATCATTGATTCTCGACAGTCTATACTATTGTTGAAACTCTTTGATTGTATAAAACCGCTTCAATTGCTGTTTTCACTCATCAGTTACAACAGTGCAGTTGTTGGTTAACGACTATGATGTCCACAACTCAGGTAAGGTGATACACTAATATATATTTCAAAGGTATCAAAATTCATATTAAATTCTATGATTAGTCTATTGTAAAAACAATTGTAATAAAATAGTCAACATATTATTTAAATAAAATTAAATACTAAAGTCAGTGTATATGTACTACTAATTCAAGTATTTAAAATATTTACGCACAATGGACCTACGATTTGAGTGCATCGGCAGAATTCTTGACCATCTCTAAAAAAACTAAATTAGTGAACTTATTATTACCATGATATCAATTTACCGAATTTTAAATAATTAGGGTTGAGTAATTCGATATTCTTTGCATATTAATGTTAATTTTATTTAATACTGATTTTACCAGAGTGGCAAGTCAATTTTTTTTTTTTTGAGACCTCAATTTTTAGTTTGCTTTTTGAACGTAGATCACCCAGCACTGTCATAGTCGTCGTTTTTACAATTAAATTATTACATATTTAATTTGTAAGCTAAATTGAACTGTTATTTACTAATTTATTTTTATTTTATGTAATTGTTTTAATTTATTTAAAAAAAATTATATTTTATATAATAATATATTAAAAAACATGTAATCATATTTTTCTATATTTATTAATGGTACCGAACAAAAACAAAATGACAATTTTATTGAAAATTGACGTATTTGAATAAGGTATTGTTCAATTGTATTTGGAATAATTAAAGTCCTACTATTCGTTTTGTGATCCTACTAGTAGAGATTTGCTAAATTAAATTTTGCAAGAGCTAAACCTTATCGTCGTTAAAATAACATTATTTTAATTTTTCCTTTTCTATAAAATTATTTTAATAATATCATGTTTTTTTTAAAAATAATTTTATATTATAATTGACATAAAATGAATTTAGAGACTGCACGATACATTTTTGTTATGCGTGCAAGAGGTATAATCTAAAAATACCATCATTTTTAGATCTTAGTGTACTATAATCCAGTTAACATTACATATTATTTTTAATTATTACATACAACACCCTTGAACTATTTAAAAATAGTATATTAGATAGGCCCGGATTAAGGAGGCAAGGGAGTCGAACGCCTGGGGCCCACGAGTTTTGAAGAGCCCATTTTGAATTTTATTAGCCTAGTTATGATTAGTGACAAAGTTTTTCCGTTTTTTTTTTGCGCATTACTATTTTTATGGTAGCGATGATTTCCATAGGAGTGTTCATCTCAGGGTACCGCTATAAGGTCTATATAGTTCTTAATCCAATATTAGGTCGTTTAATTTGGAACATATAAATCAAGATACCCTAGCCTTAAAATTTATGATTAATACTGATATAAAATAAAATAAAATAAAATAAAAAAGTGACATGCTAATAAGTGTGGTGCCCTCACCAAATCCGCTCTAAATATACTATAAAATATTTTATTGTGTATATAAAAATGACGATTTTTCATTGTAAATTTTAAGTAAGGTGAGTGGTCTGGCTATAATTTATATAATTATAACATATAATTACTTGTAAACTTATCAGTAAAACTAAGTTATTTAAACTTCAAAATTATCTTTCAGATTTTTTAATATAAATTGAAAATATGTATAATTTTTTTGTTTTTATTACTACAATTATGGTATGAACATAAATGTGTATGAGTTTTATATAATTATTAAGTTAATAATGTACGAGCATTCGTAACCCAAACATTCACTAGTGCCTAAGTCTTCTTTAAAAATTGATCAGGTTAATTTTTTTTTATTATATTATTTTTAATTTTTTTATTTAAAATTTTGTCATATTATGATTTTTTAAGTACTCATTTAGTTCTTATATTTTCTTACGGCTTTAAGTAGTCCTCTGTACTCTCATTATAATATAATTGTTTTGACCGCATTGTACAAATATTACACAGTACAAACAAAATCATTATGGAATTATGTATAAACTTATAATTAATAATGAATAAATGATAAGAATGTAAAAAAAGAAAAATAAGTGTTTAATAATTTTTTTAATTTTAGTTATACCTTATATTTATTAATTCGAAAAAACTGTATATTTATTTTTACTAAATTTATTATTTAGTATTATTAAATGTGAACATTTTACTAATTCTACATTCTAATTTTACATTTGTGTATATTTAAATTTTATTATAATAAGAGAATTAGTTTTATTTTTTCTAAGTTTAGTATGAGTATTTTAGAATCCGTCTAAAAAAACTGACTTATGTTGTGGTTTTAGCTTCGATGCGAAGCTGAGAAGGTATTGGTTTTACTATGATGTGTTTTTTTTTTTTTTTTTTTTTTTTTTTTTTTTTTTTTTTTTTTA